TCGAGAGATGCGGGTGCTTTGCCTCGGTGGGCTCTCTAGGGTGCGCTGGATTCGCAGTCGCCGTGGACCCAATGACTTGGATCAGGGCGCTGCAGCTTATCGACAACTGAGATCTGCCTCTGTCTGCTCGTTGGCAATCTGCTGAAGCTTTCGGACTGATAGAGGAACTGGATTGAAGGGATGGTGGGGATATTCTGTGCCGGAGGGAGACTTGCCTGTAATTGTCGGAGAAGACACGGGGAGTTTCTGTGAAGCAGACGGGTAGCAGGCATAAGACGGTCAGCGCTGATGGCAAACGGATAAGAAAGACAAAGACAACTAGACCTCTTACTGCTCGTCACTTTACTGCGGCGGAAACTGCGTCCAAAGCTCGCCGTTTCGACCCCGCCTTCTCCAAAAACCCCACCTTGCCAAACATCCTAACGCAGCCACGCAAGTCCTCTGTGGTGAAGGCATTGAGGGTTTCTCGGAAATGAGATTTTGCTCTTTTTGACAAACGGAACGGCGCTGCACAGACGAACAGAGATTTGTGAAGAAAAGTCCTTATATTTGTCAGTCTACCTGTTTGGATTACGGTACAAAAGACCCGACGTGCCACTACCAGGCCATCTCTCGACCCCTCTGCCGCCGCGAAGCACCACCGTAAGCCCGTTTCGGTATTGCAAAGCCGTGTCGAACGGAGGGACCAGCACGCCGAAGCCGCAAGACGTTCCTTGCCGGAGCGCTGCGCGAGCGTAGTGCGCCACACAACTGGCTGATCAATTAGGGATGGCATTTGCAAGACAGACTCTTGAGATCGCTGTCGGATAACTGGCCGCTGGGCGTGGTGGAGGCCTGTGTCGACGTCCGGGATGCGTCACCACTACGGGGGAAGAGGACTCGGTGTGACGCCTCACGAGGCGGACGGTGTGTGTTCGTGAGAGTCTGATGGGAGGCACCGGGGCGGAGGCTTCGGTATGGGTCGCTGCGTTCCGGATGCCTGGCTAGATGATTAGAGTTTCGTCTACGGAGCTGGGTGGTGTCTTACAGACAATCTGCTCTGCGCTTCCTCCTCCCACATGGCCGCGAATGAGTCCCAGCCCTTCTCCAGCGCCCTCTGCAGCCCGCGCAAATTCGTGGAGCCGGTTCCCTCAGCCATTCTCGTCACCACCTGATGTTCATTCCCTTAATCGCGAGAGGTCCGGCTGCGCACGCGGGCCTGCCGTTGTTGCGGCACAATAGAGTCACCAGCACCCATGGCTGTAGCCGCTGTCTTGAATCCCGCCATACTCGCGTCGCACCGTGTACTCTGAATGCTGCCGCCAGCTCTCGTGGGTATCTCGCCACCAGGACATTGCTGCAGTCGGACAAATGGTTGGAAATTTACGCGGAGGTGGTCGGCTAGCGGTGCGGCGGCGGTGCTGGCGCGTTCTGCGAGTGTTTTGGGGCATCGCTAGCGGATATGCGGGTGCGATGACGATAGGAAGGCAGTGGAGGACGCCTGATGGCTGTGGAGAAGGGGGTTGGATCTTGGGAGAAGAGTTGGATTTTGAGAGGCAAAGCTCCGCGGGTGAGGCTCTGCGGGTGCGGCTCTTCGCATGCAACTCCGTGAGGCGCTGCGGGGAAGTGGGGCTTGGGAGCTTCGGGGCTGCCGCCGATGAGACATCCGTAGACGCCGCAGCGATATGAAAGCGCAAAGATAAGGGCCCACAGAATACCCATCGAGAGCTTTCCTTTACCGTTTCCGCTGCCACAACAGGTGACATCGACATCACCGAGGCACACTGCTAGGATCCGAGTACGCGACTTGACTGATGAGACCGCACAGCACATTTAACTTCTCGCAGAAGAGTGCATGCTGCAGCCTACCTAGTGCCACCTCCCTAAGCTCACCCAAGACCCAGCTCTGCACCCCCTCACCACGTGGATGCCGTGCTCTGCTCGCGACAGAGCCAGGTTGATCCTGTTCGACGTTCGAAGGAAGCGGCATCTGTTCTTGTTGTTGCTCCTCACTAAAGAGACGACCACCACTTTCGCCTCCTCTCCTTGGAAATTGCTGAAAACAGCGAATCTGAGTGCTTTGAGTAGCGTGATTTTGCTGACTACCGCTGTCGGCATGTGAGATCCCCAGCTCGAAGGCGCAGGTCACGAGGTTTGAAACGTTGCAGGGTCTCTCGGTTCATCCGCTTTGACTGGCCGTGCAGGAGAGCTTGGCAGCGTAACAGGCTATTGTCGAGACTGTGTTGTAATACGTGAGGCTTGAGGGTTTACGGCAGTGGGTCTGTTGATCTTGCGGATGTAGCTAACTCGTCGAGGGCTTGCGAGAACCGAGGTCGTCACTCTCGACGGCTTCTCGGCGATGTGAAGCTGTGCGGCCGGTGCGGGCAAGCCATCTGCAGCAAGCAGGAGGCGTATAAGGCCCTGGAGAGTAGATGTACCGTTAGGGAAGTAGAGGTATCTCCTCAGCGCATATCATGTGGCTTTCGAAACGCCATGCTGGACAGCTAAACTGGCCGCGGTAGGTTCTCCGAAATTGCTAGCATGCCATCCTGGTGTGCCCGGGTAACTGCTCAGGTCCTGCGGCAGTTTATGCATCAGAATGGCGGAAGGGCAGTTGCCTGTACCATAACATGGACAGGGCAGAAATGCATGCACGCGTCTCGGCGTCTGACCGGCAAAAGATGTATGCAGGGTGGGAACTGAGGGTGAGAACACGGCCTAGTCAACAAATAGCCGATTTGGCTGTAGTCGAATAATCCTAAGTTCCAGATAAGAGCAAGTGGGCAGCAGGGCGAGGTTGATCATGCGCGCTCAAGTCCGAGTACAGGTTTAGACAAATTTGACAGCATTTCAACCTAAGCCACTGCGACGTTTGCCCGCTGCTGCTTCACCTTTATATCCAACCTTGCTCGTCGTGCCCGCCTCGCCAGATTAAAGGCTGCCGTAGTAGCGGGGAAAGGTGGCGGAAAAGGCAGGCGGCTTGCCAGGCGAGCGTTACGCCGTGAGGATGGGTTTCACCAAGTGGATATCGACGCGCTCGAGAGTGGCAGAGGTGAGATAGCAGACGGGAGCGTCACCAGCGGAAAGGGAGGGTATCTGGCACTGCGATGTAAGCAGCCGGTCAAACGCACAACGAGATGCTCCGGTTAAGGCGTGTCGTCACGCTTAGCCTGCCAATTGTGCGATCTTGAAGAGCAAGATTGCTGTCGTCGTCGAGGTATGCAACGACCCCACCCGCATTGACCCGAAAATTGACTATCCCGACAACGTCGCTACCATCGGGATTCCGGGAAATGGGCTGGTTTCGTAGGGTAACAGACATCTTTACAACCTAGAGAGATAACGCAGATCCGGCCGGCTCGATGTGGAGAGGGACTCCGGCGTCGGTCTCACCCGTAAACACGCCCCATTAACAGTAGGTATGCGCGGTCATCCTACTGCCTCTCCACCTCCGACGCATATTGGATGAGACTACGATGTGCCGCAACGCCGACTACGGCCGCTTCGCTGCCCGCTGACATGTAAAGCTTGTGTGTCTTGTTCACATCCGAAGATTCGTCGCTGAAGCCAGACGGTATTGGGCGATGTGCCTGAGCAAACTAGAGTAATGTGGACGGTGCATACGGCAAATGCAGGAGGCGGAGATAGAGGAGGAAGGCGAGAGATCGGCCTTCTTGACTGTCGGGGATGTGAGACGTTGGCGCGATTTCCATGCAGATATGGGGAAGAGACCACGTCGGGCAGGGAAGAAGTGGCACCGCAAATATCAATTTTAGTATATAATCACTGTTTATTAGTATGGCATAATTCTAAAAAAGTGCTTAACCGTGCGATAGGGTATAGAGAGTATCTTAGGGCATTTTAAACCTTAACAGCTTATAAGGGACTGCTTTAATGGTGATAGAGAAGGTGGTGAGGGGTGATTTTACGGTGCGAGAAGTGATTTGCGGTGACAGTTCTTCCCTGCCCGACGTGGAGACCCATTTTTTTTTCTGAGGCTCTGCGGATGCGGGGGCGGATCTACGGGGACATGCGGGGCTGAAAGGCGGAGTGCACCCGACTTCGAGATTGGGGGCTTAGAGCTGCCGCCGTTAGACACGCAACGCGAGTTTCACAGCAGGACTTGCATGGGTATCTTTTCAGTTCCTTCCGTTGTCACGGCATAGAGTATTGAGATCACCGAGACAGACTATCAAAGTTTGGGGACGTGAGTTAACCGGTCGGCTATTTAAGGTGGCGGGACCCCTCTATCGGAGAAGCCTGGGGCGGCGAAGTTGGCGCCAATGGCTATCTGCTTCCATTCGAGAGTCCAATGTACCTTAATGTCACCATGATCTCAATGGCTGTGGGCGCCCTTGCGCGCGGCAGATAGACCCTCACGTAGATGGCACCCCGCTCGATGCTTTCTACCTGCCCGCGGTGGGCATCAGGTTTGCTCCAGCACTTCGGCTTCATATGAAAGGTCCCACGCTGCGATCTACCCCACCGCCGCCTCCCTTGTCCGCTACGTGCATGCCCGTGCTATGCGGATATGGGCGTGAAAGCCCTATGTTCTGGACCAGCCGCTTCCACTCTGGAAGAACAAATCTCATTGCTTGGGTGAGATTCACGGACACGGATCCAGAGAAGTCCTTGATAGTCGGCTCTGCACAGGGCCACTGCTCCAGCACGAAGGGCATGAAGGCTTCGCAGTCGTTTTTGGTCGCCTCTTCATGAGCTGGTTAGGTAGCTTCGCAGTTGTTCTTCGTCGTTTGCCCATGAGCCAGTTGGGTAGCTTTAAGCTTTCTTCGTTGTCCTACACTTGGAGCGAATCGAAAAGTGTTCCGTTCATCTCCGGAATACGGAACGCGGCAGCTGTCCATAAGCTGCTTAAGGTGATCGAGTTGTAGCGTCTTGGTTTGCGGAAACTGAACATAGGACCGTGACCACGGAAAGGACCACTCGGCATCGTCCCCTGCTAGCCTCCGAATGAGAGCCTGGCTCCGCGTGCCCGCCATGGAAGACACTGATCCCGCCGTCAGACCTCGTGTAGCTGGCACGGGCGGAAATCCACCAGCGCCGGCACGAGCTCCCGGTGCTCCAGGGATTCCACAAAGCTCTCCGCCGCTAAGGACTATGCTGGTGCCGAGAACGGTGCCGCCGCTGCCAAGGATTTGAATGCCACTGTCCCCATTGTAGAAGACGACACCGCTGTACTTACGGCCGAAGACAACATTGCCGCACTCACGGTCGAAGATCATACTGCCGCGCCTACCACCAAAACCGCTACCGCTAAAGTCGTTGTCGATCTTGCGCTTCTCGCCCGCGACGGGCGTAAGGACCGGAAGGACAGCGACCACGCCAAGGAGGTTTTCGTTATGCCCACCAAGGAGACCGCTGGCGGTGTCGTACCCACCGATAAGACTGCCACCCGGAATACTGACAACCTAGCGCGGAAGCGCTCACAGGATACCAGAGCCCGGCCTCACCGCCGACAAGGCCGTCACCGTCGGGGAGACCGCCGTCGCCGTCGAGACTGCCGTTGAGACTGTTGACCCTCGCTCCCGCGTTCTCCCTCCCCCCTCAGTCTTCATGCATCCGCCTCGCTCTCGCTCTCAGGAGCGCGTTCAAGGTTTCATTGCGCGATAACTACGGGTAAGGAGTGAAGATGCGAGATACTGCTCCGATGCGGGCGGAGGTCTGCTAGCGCTGGCACGGCGAAGTTGCTTCGCTCTGTCCAGAATTAGATCAACGCGCACCCAAACTGCCACGAAGCCACTTACGTCAGCCATATGCTTGTGCACCTTGCGGATAATGAACCCATCTCATGAGTTTGAGCCCTTGCTGGCCTCAATCCCGCTGGTTGGAAGAGAGAAATCCCCGGCACCGTGGCCGTTGTCAATTTCGAGGGCAAGATCGACTGTAAATACGCCGTCGGCTACGCGCAACCTGCCATCTCAGCCGCTGACTGGCCTCGAGTGTGGCGTCCACGAGAGGCCTCGCAGGTCCGAAACGACTGGCCGGAGAGTGGAACGTCAACGCGGAGCTCATCCAGAAGCATGTCTCGGTGAGAGTGAGCGCCTAGCTCATCATCACACTGCGCCCGATGTCGGTAAGCCTGAGGCTTGACGAAATCCGAGCGCAGTGTTGTGTTGTCGCCGAGGGCTGTGTTGTGTTATCGCAGAGGGTTGTGTTGTGTTGTCGCCGCGGGCCATGCTGTGTTGTGCCGTGGTTGTATCGTGTGGCTCGAATAATGGCGCGATACGACCTGTCTGACGAGAGGTGGTTGGTGTGCTGTTGCTGTGCTATGTGCTCTGTGTTGCGCTGCGTGGCGTGCGATGGACAGTTAAGCGGGATAAGGAGCCTGCAAATTGTGGGCAAAACAGCTAGGCGCCACGGGTGCGGATGTAACCGCGCCTTGGGAACGAAGCAGGCGAGAGGAATCCACGACATTGCAGGAGAAAGATACTAGCATTGAAGAGTCTTTGCGGTAACGGGACCTTGTGAGTGGGACCTTGTGGATGGGCAAATTGACTCTGCGGGCATTTTAAGGTGCGGCTCTGCGGCTGCGGCTCTGCGGCTGCGGGTGCGACGCAGGAACAATAGGGAGAACTTCGCGCAAGGTTTGAGGTGCGTGTAGGAGCTCGCGGAGATCCAGTCGCGGCAGAGAGCAGAGAGAAGACAGCTCGCGCGGCGTTGGAGAAGAGGATGTCCTCGGCGTATAGAGGAGTTCACGACCCGCGACGTAGTAGGTAGCCGCAATGGCGACGAGTGGGCGCACGCGAAGGGAGGGTCGGTGCAACCGGCGATGCCGGGACAATCGGAGGAGGCGACGGGAAACGCTGCTGGGGGGAAACGGAGCTGACAGAGCAACACCACCGTCCTCCAGTACAGTACTCCCTTTACGGCCGCGCCGCTTTATCCTCCCATCGATTTTCCTCCCCTTTCATCTTTCCTGTCATCATCCCTCGACTCAGGCAGATTATGCGCAGTGCTACAACCTCGTCGGTGCAGCTCCTTCCCCTCCCTCACAATCTAGTTTCCAAGGCATATTCAGCAAGACCTTCACTGCTCCGACGATGGCTAATGAACACAGAACAGGATGGCAGCCCATGCACCCAATGTCCAATAGCGCCTGAACCCCCCTCCGCTCCCCGAACATTATACACAGCAGCGTCGGTGTGAGATTGACTCTGTACCGGAGAAACTCAACCGCACATTCGCGCACTCGCGCACGCATCGGTGGGATGGACCGCCGAGGGACCACTGGGAGATCGGTAACCTGCAAACTCCACAATCTGGACATACACCAACCCGCGTCCAATCCGCGCTGAGCTAAGGCCGCAGTCGGAAGTCTTCGTGCAGGACGCAAACAAGGACGAGGTGGAAGACCTACCACGCGACGTACGGCACACAGGGCTGCTCCTGCTCCATCTCAGCCACCAAGCCGTTTCGATGAGTAGAGAAGCGCGGGGACAGCCAGGCTCTCGCCGCAGTGCCGACGAGGACGACGAACATGTATTCCGTTGTACTGTTACTGCGATGGACCAGTGTTGGGTTTTGGAAAGCGGTGGAAGGAGGAGAAGGGAAGACGAGAAGGGCGGCGCGTAGGGCAAACCAGTAGCTGATTCATGGAGCCCGTTGCCGCGTTAAGCCGTGTATTGCTCGCTCGGAGTGTATTATCATGCTGTATTAATCAAGGGGTTGCCAGAATAGAAGCCATGCCGCGGGGACTCAAAGTACGAGATGAATTGGAAGGAGCGGCCGTCAGGAAGTGACACGTCGGCGGGTGGAACGTTGGCACCTGCCTCATCTAAAGACCGACACGATCTAGGCCGCTGGCTGCGAAGTGGAACGCTAATGCCACCGTGGCCAGAAACCAGTGCATTGGCTCGAAGTCACACATATCGTCGGCGTTGTCGAATCCGGCTAAGGAACAGGTCCTGTCAAGGCCCCGCTCTCACCTACACGTTTCCGCCGTGCTGACTTGCCTTCGGAGCTGTTGGCAGAATCAAGTAAGGCAGCTTCGCATAGCTGGGGTGATAGAGCAGACGGATAGATTGGTTGGCACGGATCTGTGAGGACGGTGAGTACGTTTGCGGGGCCTTGGAGGCAAAGCGTCAGAGGGGTTTCCTGCCCAAAGGATAGGTGGGATGACTGGTGTGTGTGTGGCCTCACTGTCCGCGAAAGTTCCTGCAGCTTCGCACCTGTCTTGACGGAAACCTCATTCTGCTTGTCTTAGGGGAACAACCATTCGCCCCCGGCCCGAACTGACTGGTTCTTCGACCAAGTCTTGACATGACAACGGGTTCATGGTGCGGTCTTCTGGAAAGCTCGAAGGACATCCTCCAACATCTTGCTAGAGGGGATAAAGGGTTAAAGACTTCGGCTGGAATACACTCATCGAAGAAAAGATCACATTCACATGCTCGTACGCTTCCAGCACCACCCATGCCTGACGGTCACAGCACCTAGCACCCGGCATTCTGCCCACTAAGCTCCGCCAGCCCCTACTCTCCCAACGAACTGCGCGCTTGGAAAGCTGATGCCTGGCAGCAACTGCCTCACGTCTGCACATGCTCTCAGCGTCGGACTTCTTCGCTGGCTTGGTTTTGCCGGCGTCGTCGTCACCGGCGGTCCAATCAGGGATCCCGTGTTTGCTGCCTTTACTTTTGTCTGGGTTTGGGCGCCGCGCTTGGTGCTTTCGTGGCGACCTTCTTCGCTGAGTTCCTGTATGGTATGGTTACTTTCGGCGGGACGACTGCTCACGGCGGAGTGTCTTTGTGCCCTTTGTCGTCTTCGATGATAATGCTTTTCTTCCTTACCTTCTTGAAAAACTTAGCTTGAGCACGTAGCTCGCTCTGCTCTTGCTTTCCTTCAAAGCGTCGACTTCGTTTTTTTTGGAAAGGAGATGCGTCTCATCCCGTACGAAGACCTTGATGAGTGGAGACTGGCTGCAACCCTTGCTGGACCCGGATTGGCATGTATCCAGGGGCGGTCCGCTTGGGAGATTCCGCTCCGAACTCCCAATGATTCTCAGCACCGCATCACTGCGGATGCGAGCTCTGTTTCGGCCAAGAATATCTCAAGCTTACCGCTGTGACAGACGACGTGAATCAACTCCGTGTGCCGTATGTCGTGTGCGGCCCGTTCATTGTGTCCTGCACGAAGATCTTTAGGCTTAACAGGATGCGGCCATGGCATAGGCGCGCCTCGTTGGACTTGGTCGAGACAGAGCCTTCTCCAGGGGCGACTTCGCCGGCTCGAGTGCAGCAATTCTACAGCTTATGCGGCGCGGATTGGCGTTTGAATAGGGCGTGAGGATCGTAAGCCCCATGTTCAGTGCCCTCTGTTGCCGACCTGCAGTCTCTGCAAACAACACCTTCGCCGAACTGCTTGCGAAGAAGCAAGCCTCTAAGCCCGCCATCTCCGCCCCGCCGGTGAGCAACCTGTAACGTCGTCGCCGGAGTCGCCTAGGCCGTGCCCTTTCCCTTTAATCCAACCCCTCAACCACCCACTCCACCCACTCCACCTTCTCACGCACGAGCTCTCTAAACGACGCGTGGTCCGTCTGTCCAGTTTGGCTGAAGCCGAGGCAGAGCGAACCTGCGGGTCTGGGCAGTCTGGCTGAGGATCTGTCTAGCCAGGCGCTGGTCTATGAGGACGAGGAGGTGTAGAGGCAGCGGGAGCAGCTGGATCGAAGAGGGACGGACGGGTCGGGCAGGAGGGCGGGAAGAGGGTGCAGGGGATGGAGCTGTGAGGAATATCTTTCATGAGGCAGGGGGCGGGGAGTGAGGGGCGGGATAGGAGTGCATGGAGGGGGGCGGGAGGGCGAGGAGGAGGGGAAGGGGTCCCCATCTGAACGCGGGTTTGGCAGTGCCTTGAGCATTCACGGCTCCAGCCTACGATCTCCCAGTGATCCTAGCTGAACGCGGATTGGCGTGTGTCAGGGGCATCGTGCTTGCATTACAGGCGAGGATCCCTCGGCGTTCCCTCGCTGCGCATGCTCGCCAGCCAAGATGAGGTCCTGTTAAACGAGACTCATGTCACTGGTGAGCGAACAGACCGGCTCGTGCGCCGATCTTACAAGGGTTCTCCTAGTAAGAGCAAGATTCTTCCCTAGCTCCCGAGCCGCCCGTGTTAGTAGCAGTTAGGGGTTTGAGCGAATCGAAGACTAAGGGCTGGTAAAAATAAACGCGGCGGTGTTTCACCCCAAACGGCCAAGTGCCATTCTCCTACGAGATTGGCGGGGAACGGGTCGTGTCCAGACCCGCCGCGTTTATTCTTGCCAGCCCTTGGACATCGGGCAGGCCGAGCTCCGAGAAAGCTCTACCGAGCTCTGTGGAATCCAGCTATCTGAATGGTCAAACTGTTGTACGCTAGGGTATTGTATGCAGTAGAGAGGCATCTAGCTCGCACGGCTCGTACAAAAGAAGAACGAGGCCCGAGCTTGAAAGCTTGACTCCGTCGTTAGAGTTTGGCCGGCTCACTTAATTGCTCGTGTAGATTACGAACAACTGGATATATTCGAGGGAAATACCACTAAGAAGCATAGGAGGGTGTCTCTTCATCACGTTCAGAGTATTTAGCTATCTGCGCGTTGTGTGGTGTTGATTCAAGGATTTGGCACCAGACTTTTGAGCCCAGGG